GCTGTTGCAGTTCATCGCTTGGTTTTTGAGGTTCACCGAGCAGCTGAGGAAACATTTTTTTGTAACTTGCATTATATTGTGAACTAGTTTTGAATCCAGTCATGGTTTCCTCTATGATTTAGGGACTACACACGAAGCTATCAGTGGGGGAAAGATTCCTGCATTACTCGTATTGTCCATTTTTATCTCTATCTTCCCTCTGAAGCTAGAGATGCAAATGCAAAACTGGAAAAATTTATTTTCGGGATCCTTAAGCAAAGGATGAGACTGTTGGTAGCAAGAGTGTTCTGTTTTTCTTTGTGGTGTGTTTGCAGTTAAATTTCCATTGACCAATGATGTTTGAGCAAGCTTTTGTTGCTCATGCAGAAAAAAATTCTGTCCAGGCAGCAACAGAAAAACACACATATGGTGAAACCGCCTTGAAACCATCAGCTAATATAAGTCGTTGATTTAGCCATTAACTAGATTAAAAAAAAAAAAATCAGCATTTGTAAAAACTATCTGGCCGAAAGAAGAGCAAGTTTGACCCAAATAATCTTTTTGTTAAACTGGTAATAGAGGAAGATGAGTTACAGAGAGATAATTAATTGATTATAAATTGTGAAATTTATGGCCAACATGAAGATCATATTTACTTAATATTCCAGGTATTCTGTACATTTGAAACAATTATTTTATGTTTGATTAAAGAGTATACTGTTACACGCCAAAGAAAAATGTATCATATGTGACTTTTAAGGCTTTAATAAGTACCAGAGGTTATGTAACAGTATGTAGATAGGGATACTAATATAGTTGGTGTCATAGTTAAAGGGAACCCGAGGAAACCTTTACTTATCTTGAGTTCGCTCTTGTTTCTCATTCGAGATTCAAAGCTGTACTGGTCTTTTAATGTACTCACATGTAATTCAGAATTCTGCATTTTGCAAAAGAATAAGAAACTTGGAAAGGTAGTAGCATGTCCAAAAATAGGACAATCTTTCCCTTTGAACAACTTGCACATTGTTCCTCTATACATATTTGAGTATTAAGTATTGATCGAGGAAACTGGGCCATCATATTGTTCCTTCAAAAAAAAAAAAAAAAATCACACTTCTGCTCTGATTCTAAAAACTACAAAAATAACTGGCTGACTCACTGCGTCGGCATATGATCTTTGCATGAGGAAACTCCTCTCTGCAGCAGCATGTGCTCACCAAAGTAGAAGTAGGGACCCTTGTGTGGTTGGAAGAATTTCCCGCAAGCTCTGACGTGGACGTCTGCACCTTTGCTGACCAGCAGCTTCACATAAAAAATACTTCTCCTCTCGATGGCTATATGCAGAGCTGTCTGGCCTGCAAGAAAATGAGTCTTATTTAAACATGTCCACTGCATTACTGGAAAAAAAATACTGGAATACGGATATCGTGACAAGGTTAAAAGAGTTCAAATAAATCTCCCGGAAACAGAAAATCTGTTACCTTTGTAGTAGTTGTTGGTGTAGGCTGCGTTCACAAACTCCTTAACATCACCCATCTTCTCTGAAATGTCAATCAACATTTCGACGGTCTCATTCCTGCCATCTTTGAGGTGCAGCAGAGCTTTCATTAAGGGCGTTTTACCGTAGGACCGATCTGTGGATGTAAACACAAATCCATGTGGTTAACACATAGGTCAGCATGTTCTACTTTAGTTGCAGCTGTTGCATTACCGGTCCTCCAACACTCACACAAAGAGTCAGAGAGTTTCTTCATATTTTGGCGCAAGTACTCTTGAAGGCCATCTAGTTTGCTGATATCTCTGCTGGCCACTGCTTCAAACAGTCTGTCACGGTTATACGTCTTGCTGTCTCTCCTGTTATCATGCTGATCCACACCTCGAATCCCTCTATACAAAAAACCAAAAAAGTGTAACAGTTGGGTTGCTGAGGGTTATTAAATCAGCACTTTGGGGCTTGAAAATACCCAGCACCAATCCTATAATGAGTGTTATATTGAGGCAAACTTCATTTTATCACTGCATGGAGAGGCTCACTTGTCAAAGTTGAAATTGAATCTGATCTGAGGTTTCGTCTTCTCCATTTCTTCCTGGTAATCAGTGTCCATAGGTGTCTTGGGGTCCTCCGGGCTCAACCTCAAAGCCAGACCATCTTTCTTAGTCATCTTTTGGCGCGACCTCTCCTCCTCTGTCCTGTCGTCTGTCTCCAGAGTGAAACCAAACATCTCAGATTTCTTCATTTTTCACCCTTTCCTCCAGTGATCTGCATGGAAATACGACACAGTTATACATAATCCAGAAGTGACAGAGGTGCTGCAAGGAGTTTTCAATACAAAGTGTAGAGATTTTTTTCAAGACACTGTTACTGTTTCACTGCTAATACCTAATAACTAAGACACTCAGTAACTACCATTTTACTGGTGCTTTTTTTAAATTTTATTTTCATTTAAATTGTAGTTAACCGGGTTTATGAGCTTTAAGGAGACTAAGTTTGGTAGTGGTTGTATGTGTGTCATGTCAAAATTTAACCTCTGACCTCACTTTTACATTTAACCCCAAATGCATTACAGATTTAAAGAAAGTAATGTCAAGAGAAAGAGCATGAGCTGCTAGTCAATTATTTACGTCTAGTTACAAGTTGTAAAAATCAATATTATAACAAACCTATTATCCGTTAGCTTCTCCTACACAAGTTTGGTATTTTGTTTACAAAGTACCAGTTTGGTATTTTGTAAACAAAATAACAAAATACAAATTTTTGTATTTTGTTTACAAAATTTTGTTTACAAAATACCAAACTATACCAAATTATTCCCTTAAAAGTGTCTTGGCTGTCTTGGTGGAGGTTTGTTCTCTCTGGGTGCTTCTTGTTGAAAAAATCTACTAAAAGCAACTAATTGAGTCCTATTTAGCCTGCAGAAATTTGAAACATGAGAAAAAGGGCAATAAAATCACTGTACACCCAAATCTGTGTCCACAGTAAGTCATCTACAACAATTGGAGGAATCAAAGTAAAGATTTAAGTTAAACCATATAAAACTATGTCATTACACTGCTTGGATTGAATTGGTTACAAACACAGCCATGAGCCACTGTAAATAATTCAGGTCAGAGCGTGTAGCGTGGCTGCATCAGCAGAATCGGAAACATGTTTACCACAGGGGCTTATCTAAGCCGTCTTAAATGGCACGAGCATAGCTTTCAGACATGTGATGTTTCCTCAACCAGTGACTAACAAAGGAGTTTTTATTTAAAACACTTCCTTGACAACAGTAGAAACACAGCACTCGATCTTCTTGCTGCTTGCTGCTTTGTGACATGACCAATTGGTTTACAGTGTGGTTACACATTCACAGTCTAAAAGGATTCCAAGTTCAGCTGATAGTAAACAGACACTATGCCCCGATGTTAAAGAAAGATGCGTTAAGGGCCATGAGACCGTACAGAAATCTTCTGTGGCTTCTTGTTCCTCTTTTTGAGTCAGAAAATGGGGAATTACTGATTCAGTGGAAACTGTGTTATACCCCATGGACATCATGGGAGGAACACAGCAAAAAAAACAACAACGGACTAAAAACCGAGAATAAGAACATCTGTTGTGGTAAAAAAAACATTTTGCTGAACATCATGTAAAAGATGAATTAAATAGATGCTTTCAATCGCACAACTGAAACGGTAGTATTTTAAAGAAAGAAATGCTAAGCTTGCATGTCTATAAATGTTTTCATTGTAAAACTGCTTGTACAGGAACCTCTCCGACATCATGTGATTATGTCCTGGTGTATTATTTATGACTTATTGATCCATGATGCTCAGTAATGTGAGCCATGTATGTTTTTTTTAATGCTGCACAAACATGTCTCTACAATAATAAAGATAATCTGCTCTGTATTCTCACTGAGGCGCAATCTAAACTGTGAAAAACATCCCTTTAACTGCATACATGCCATCCATATACCGAAGCAGTGCAACATGCCACGGCAGTAGCACATTCTTCATGAACTAAAGCATTTTTTTTATAAAGTGGCAATCAAAGCAGTAACAAACGAGCTGACTCACCAGACTTCAATCTTCGTCGTCTGTACTGTTTCCTTTGTTTAAAAAGTTTTGAAAAAAATCTGATGTTAATGTCAAAACCACTGAGGTATTGACACACCCTCAGAGACATGGGCGTGTGAATACTGTTGTGTCTCTGAAGATGCCTGCTTAGCATTAAGAGAAATGAAATAGTAGGACCAAGGCAGAGGGAAATATGATAACCTGCCCTTGAGAAAATTAGAGCACTTTACTCTGGGCTTGAGTGCTTAAAAGGATGCTGTACTGACCATTACTGGACATGACAAAATACCACAGAGAATGCAGTGTATTTTCTGACCTAACACAACAGAGCTTGGCTTTTTTTGATGACTTCAGGAAAGAGGAGCTACAGAGCAGATTGCAGTGTTAAAACAATCTTTTATTATCTTTGAATTTATACAAACTAAATAATCCACTGAAGCAGTTAGCTGAACAAAAAAGCAGGCATGAAGCAGAAGAGCACTGGCGTGTTGTCCACAGAAAATCCACAGAAAATGAAAGCAGAAGTTTCAAAAAGGAGAAACTTACCCTGAAGAATCAAATTGAAGATTTTGGTCGTAAGTCTTCTGGGGGTTTTTTTTTTAGTCCATAAAGCTGCTCAAGAGTTTCCTGTACGTCTTACAAGCCTCTTCGTGTTCTCAATGTGATGTACTTGTGTGTTTTATTTAGTGCTGCTCTGGGCTGCTCCTGTGACTAAATGTGTGGTTGCGGAGCATCTGCCTACCAGCGTGAGCTGTAGCTGCAGAGCTCGCATGAGACAACTTCCTTTTTTTACTTTTGAAAAGGATGCATGAGATTGTTATCGTTTGCATATGATGGCATAACCAAAACCGTCACTTGAACCCCAAAAAAACTTCTCTGTGATCTTGATCCCATTTGTATCTGAGCTTGTCATTCTCAAAGGAGCCTTGATTAAATACAAAACAGAAATGTGCACAAAGCTAAAACTCTCTTTATTAGCCCGTCTGAGCTCACGCAGGCAGAAAAACACATTCAAAGACAGTCAGGCGCAAATTCAGTTATTAACACTGGTTTATTTCTAGTAGCATCACTATCACTGTGGCTTAATGCAGCATAATGAGTGAGTGAACACACTTATAACGCAGTGGACTGTGACGTCTATATGTGCCTGTGGGAAAAAAAACTGTGTTTATGTGATTATAGTAAAATATGAAGCTATAGACTTGACAAACAGGTTTTCTCTTTAACTGGTTGATGACTTTTAATCTTCATAATCATAATCGTATCTCCTTAAACCAAATGACAACAAGTATGAAAAGGAATATTAAAAAAACAAACAAAGGACATCCATGAACTTTTTGAGTAGAACATATACTAAGTTAAAGGTCAAATTAAGGTTGAATGTCAGAAGAGGTGAATAAAGAGCAGTAAACATCAGAAAGAAGATTTCCCATGGCTCTTACAGGTCAGTTAAAGGATGCTGCGATGACCCCCCCAAGGCAGTAGGTGCTTTGTTACTGTAGCTTATAAAGTCTTATAAAGACCAGAGCAATCTGGCTTTGGGAGATTCTGACATGTAGTAAATAAAAAGTTATGTTACTGTTTTGCTGAAAGTTATGGTCACTGAGCTGTCCTCGGCTTGTGATTCATGTGGCTTTGAGCTTGGCTGGGCCTGTGCCTGGTGTGTTTAAGTCTGTATAAGGTGCAGCTGCTGTTCTGTCCCTGATGGAATGTGGATTCTCTCTGGTCTGTTGGGGAGGGTTTTTTTTAGTGTTTTGTCAAAAAAGGTTGTCTTGGAGGCACATCCAAGGTTGCAGGTGTCATTGACGGTTCTAGCTGCTTCACTAGGCTCAAGGGTTTCAGCGCTTACGTTCCCGCCACAATTATCATAAAGGTGATACAGATTGTTCAGCCCTCAAACTTTTCATCACATCTGTTTACTCAAATTTTGAAACGAGTCTGAGTAAGGCATAATCACATTCAGAGCCACTTTATTGGTTCCATCAAACTTTGAAAACACTGCTGTGGGGGTAATGTGAATTAGGCCAGGTTTGGGAAAGACCCATGGCTGTTTGTTGCTGGCTGCCAGGGATGTAATTCAACTCATTACTGGGTTTAGTCTAAATGAGATGGTATTTGGTCACACGGTTTGCTTCGGGATTCTGTGGTACAGCCTGAACCCCATTGAGATAGTGAATCCGGTTCTGGATTATAGAAATGAAGCATCTTAATTATCCAAAAGCCAAACTGCAGCAGTTCGGTCCAGGTGAGCAGGTTTTAGCTCTGATGCCATTTGGTGGTGTCTCATTTCAGGGCACTTTATGGTCCCTTTGCCATTCAAGTTCAGAGTAGAACTATTTGTTTTTTAAATTCATTTTTGTCATATTAATCTGCTTAAACCCCATTACATCAGGGTGTCCCAGCCCTGTAAAACTGGGGAAGACATACCACAGCACAGTGGGAAGCATGGATTCACTGGCACATGAGGGTGATAGGGTAAACCCATCCAGTGAAAGCCTGCCGAGGAAGGACCCTCTGTAAATTGGAAGCCCGTTCACGTCTGTCATCATGAATGATTATTCGTTTGTCAGACTCAAACACACCTAACAGAGCATGGTATTGATGTGGGTGACGCTCAACTGATTCACTGGCGTTTTAAGACTTTCTGGGAAAGAAAAGAGAAGGTGATGGAGAAGGAAATTCAGTATATGTTCAATTATAGTATTGTGAACCTTCATCTTCAAGCTGGGCTTCTCCCTGTTTGTTGGTGGATACAGCCAACAACTCCCGGGTTCTGTACCAATCACTGAAAAGTGGGTTGACTAAACCAGATGCTTATCCTCTACCATGGATGGAAGACTGCGTGAACAGGGTGGGTTCAGCTCAGTTTGTCAGTAAACTTGATGTACTGAACAGTTCCTAGCAAGTTCCCCTAACGGAGCAAGTGACACATCAGTCTTTATCACTCATTCAATTTCCTGCACTCATTCTGTTGTCCAAATGCACTGGCTTTTTTGTTTTTGCAATCATATGGCTCAGACATCCATCACATCAGGGATCTTATGGGGTTTTTGTATATATATGTATATACATTTTTTTTTTTTGCTTTATTAGACAGATGCAGTGAAGATTGATGGGAAAAAGAGAGAGAGAAATGTGGCAAAGAGCTGCAGGTCAAATTCGAACCTGGCCAGGCCACTCTCAGCCACACTCCATATGGTTGCCTGCTCATCCAACTGAGATAAACCAGCACCCAGTGATTTGATGTTTTGTGGTGCTTTGTCAAGAGCAACTTATTCTTGAGACTATACTCAGTTTTCTGGTAGCTTTCCAGCTCCTTCATTTTTTCCAGCCTACTGTTCAAGTGCCTATTCCAAGCACCAGGTTTCCTGAGTTAGAGAGTGGAGTTAGCACTGACTGGGGAGGCTGTTGCAGTAAACTTGGTGAACATGATACAACAGAGTGTGGTTGAAAATGAGACATTGTAACTGAGTAAAACTTTTATATGCAGTAGTGTAAATGGGGGGGAAAGCAATGATTTGGATTCAGCTGGTGTCCAGGAAGAGTGTGACAACCCCCAGCCACTAGGTGTCTCTGCTATGGTTATAGTGCTGTTACTTGTAGAAGTAACTGGCTGCATGAGCTACACTTGGGCCCAATTAGTTAAAAGATTCATTACTAGTTACTACCTCCGTTTTGAGCCTGTGAGCCAAGCTGTGACAGTGCGATTAAAAAAGAAAAATAAGGCTCAGTGGGAGTTGACGGGCACTGTGAGAGTCTACACTGAAACAAACACTCAAGTCTCTCATCATTCTCAAGAATGAAAAAAGGTGCTAAAAATGAAACCATTCCATTGGATTCCTGCTATTATGACACTGGTTGATTCTAAACCAAGCGTGGATCACCCTGGTAATCTGCGCTTCATGATCAGACTGAATTCTGATCAATCAGTGTTTTGAAATACTTAACCCACAAACACACAAAGATTCGACCTGTTTCAATCAGGCAGCTGAAAAGGAAACACCCATCCCACAGGAAACTACAAATGAATCTGTCCCAGACACCTAAAATGAAGGCACCTCAACATGCTGTTTTCTGCTTCAGTGTTGACATGTTGATTGCATCTTCATCTCAGGGAACATAAATCATGCAGAAGCTTTAAAGCATTCCAACTCACTGTGATTTCTCTCCATGTCATTATTAAATTTCAGACACCTACAGTTAACAAGTTTGAATTTGTTGCCTCTATCATTTAATGCATCTGTCTGGTGCTGCATTAAGCAGCTGTAAAGCTAAGTGACAGAGGCCTGACTTTTTTCCTGAGGAATGAAGAGCAGCTAGGTCTAGGAAAAAGATGCCGTCCTTTGATTGTGACTTACACTGTAACAAAATCCAACCCCAAATATCAGAAATTCCCAGTATATTGATGAGAGCTGTTCAGTCACAGTAAAATCTTTGAGCTTTCACGAACATCTTCTATCTTTTGGTCCTATAAAATTGCTAACATTGGATCTCTATCCTGTCAAACACAGCCTTTTCTTTAAGATTCAAAATAAAAATGAGCTGTGTAAGATTTGTTAGGGTCAGCTTTAGTTGATGTGCAAAATTCTCAGTCATGTAAACAGACAGAACTGGATAGCGATTCCAATTCAAAGGCGGTCACAGAGAATCATTGCCACGCCCAAAGCAGAGTCTGCGTTCTGTCCGTATACCACCTGCAGAGGGAACGCCTTCTCCACTTCCTGTCTTAGCACTTCGTTCCGAGCGAGCGCGCTCCCACTGCCCACAATCCTGCGGACCCCCGCCTGCTGCAGATGCTCTACGGGCATCATCGAGGTGACGTTGTCCAGGACTCCATGGCAGAGAGCCCTGATCACATGACCCAGGGAGAGATTGGAGGTGGAGATGCCAGTCACGTGGCCCAGGCAGAGAGGGTCATGTCTCTCTCCCAAGATAGTAGGACTCACCCTCAGGTTGCTGGTTTCCTGGTTCAGGGCACAATGAATCAGCTTTTCGTATAAGCACGAGTCACTCAGCTCTGCACCTGTGGAGATTTTGGGGGGGGGGGGTTGCAGCAGAGGGGGGCATTTTAGTGTCATCTATCTGTGTAGACTTTAGTTTAACTGTTCTACAGTGTTATTTTGTTTATTGCATTCATGATTAATTATTCATTTAATGTCAGTTTTCTCTAATCTCTGCGCCGTCTCTGGTCTTTGCTTTCATCTTTAACCCTTTAAGACCTACCATAGAACCAAGTTCGCCAGAGCTTATATTATATTTTTACATGCTGTGGAGCCATTTTTGGGAGCATTTCAAGTTGCTATACATCAATACAACCATTATAGCCCAAACTTTAATAATATGTCTGCATTAGGTGCATAGTAATTACATAAATTGCAAAAAAGTGCAATAAACTACAAAAAAAATTGAAAATCGTTTTTGTTTTTTTTTTAACATATATTTCTAGTTAGAGAAATTTAAGAGGCTTATCCCTCAAAACTGTAAATACAAAAAAGTTACACAAACTAGTTTCCCACCACAGGAAATTTATTTTGAGTGTCTTCATAGTTTTATTTTTGAAATACACCAATTTTTATATACTGCAGGAAAAACGAAAATAAATATTATAGTGCAAATTTGCAAAATAACAGCATATGCATCAAAATAAACTATTTCCAGCAGTGCAATATGAGTCTTAAGCATCCCAGAAACGACACAGAAAGTCATAAAGTCAAACATAACTTTTTAAAACACATAACAAGTAAAACACAAGCTCATAAGGCCCCGATCGTAAAAAACTACATTTATGCAAAATGACGTCACTTCCGGTTTCGGGCAGGTCATGCGGTCATGTGATAGTTCGCGCTGATGGACGTAGGAAGTGTTACAAACAGCTGATGGATCGGCGAAGCGTGTTTCTGGAATATCATGTTTTTGTTGCTGCAAGTGATTTTTATGCAGTTTTTGCAAAGCTATATGTGGAAGGAAACTGTGACCTAGGACAAGCTGATGGCATAAGATGTAAGTACAACTCCTCCAGTTTCATATGCAAAAAAAATTATTGCGCTAGCTTACTTGGTTGCAGAGCTACCGGGATTTAAAAATAGTTACGCAAAACAGAGCGTGCCCGCTCCGATCGGCTGTAAAGGGTTAAGCAGCTTTGATTGTTGATCTGCAAGTATAACCTTTCCCTAGAACTGTTTGCCAACGTTTCTGAATAAAGCTGGGATGTATTTTGGTTCTTGCATCTCCAGTAACGAGTTTAGAGAGGTGTCATTTATCTTCTCTATGAATATGTTAAGTATATGAGCCTGTGAGGTGTACATGGATCTTTCCAAATGAGCTCACATAAACCCTGATTAAGCAGCAGATAAAACTTTCTGTATATCAGAATATACCACAGTTTTAAACCTGGTGTCTATAGTGCCATTCCCTTTAGTTATAGGTTTTATGTAAAGACTGTATATAAATGATGGGCACAGCATAATCATCAAGTGTGAAATGTGAAGATAATGAAGATATACCTTAAAACTACATTTTTCCTAATGGCCAACAGGGAGCGGTCCATCTGGTTGAAACAGTTGTAAAAAAAAGTATATGATAACACGTCCCTGCTGCTCACTTGTACGACTAAGACTAGGATTAATCAACAATGTCAGCTGGCATTAGCTATTTGCTGATCTATCTGTATCAATATTATAACTGCTGATGAATAAAAAAAATTTAAAAACTAAAGAAGAGACAGAAGAAACATCCTTCAACCATGTCTTGAGTTTTGAAATTACATAGTTTTCCCACCAGTGGGAGCTCTTGTTGTTGGCAACACACTTCTTTGGAAAGCCACAAACACAACATCCAGCTAATCCGAGCAGTTAGGTTAAATAATTACATAAATAACTACGCATAACAAACGTTAGGGAAGTCTGTTTATGATTTGTGCCTGAAAAGAGAAAAGAAATGGCCAAAATACAGCTTTTTCAACCCTGAATATTGGTATCCGCCGGTTTATGCAAAGTGTCAGTAAACATTTTCTTATTGAGGTTTTTGGTCTCACAAATCTTATCAATACACAATGTGATGCGCGATTTTACATTTTAATCCGTTTTAGAGTAAAGAGGGGGTAGGATTTTTAGAGAAGTTGTCACCTTATGAATATGAAACTGTTGAAATAATTTGTTTCGTTATATTGTACTTGACTTTACTAAGCTATTCTACTTTTTTAAGCCTTTTGTAATAATCATGATTAAAAAATAAAACTAATGTGTGGAATCACAGTGTCTGTGTCCATCTGCAAGTCAGCCTGCACTGTTTGGTTTTCCTGAGAGGGATGACGATGGATTAAGGTCTAGAAAATAGAAGAAGAATACAAACCAAGCTCTCTCATCCAGGAAGTCAGCATCTCCACAAAACTTGCCAACACATTCCCGCCATTGAGCGATGCTGCAACAGCCAAGTATGTGGACTCAAAGTAAGGGAAGTAGGAGATGGACGAGGCAGGCTGAAGAGAATCTGGAGGTTTGAAGTCAGCTGGCATGGCGTAGGTCAGCTGGGCTGAAGTGCTTATGTTAAGGACTGGGAAATTTGAAAAAAAGAAAGAAACTGTCAGCTAAAGAGAATTAGCTGTGATGGTTAGTGATGTGTTTGTCCTGAAATATAAACCCCTAAGTCAGCTACAATAAGTTTTATATTGGATTTTTTTCCTCAACCTTATTGTTTGTTGATCTCTCACTTGACATGCAACAGTGTGGTTTGTGTCTGTGAAGGTTCTCAGTCATCCAGGTCATCGTAGTCTAAGGAGCTTGGAAAGAAAAGCGTCTGGACTTCTTTGAGTTGCTTGAAGACGTTTCACCTCTTATCCGAGAAGCTTCTTCAGTTCTAAGAGTCAAATGGTGGAGAGCCCCAGATTTAAACCCAGTGGGAGTTTCCCCCCAAAGAGGGACAAAGGACCCCCTGATGATCCTCTACCTAATCACATGAGCCAAGGTGTGAAAGCGGGTGTGCTTTACAACTAGAGCTGGGCGATATAAGATTTTTTCATATCACAATATGTTTTTTTCATTTCAGGCGATAACGATATCTATCACGATATAAGCCAAATAACTATATTTGTAAGATTTAAATGTGCCGTTGCTCACAAGTAAAATGTGAAATAATCAGCAGCTTGTTTTTATTTAAATATTTATTTCCCATAATAAGTTCATCCATTAAGCGGATGTGAATGGATGGATGAAGTTCAACAGGGTAGATGTACTTAAGGAACATGAGACTTTTTCAGATAAATAAAGGCAAATACTGCAAACTACACAAAAGGTAGCCGCTAAAGCGTTTAAGTTTCAAAATAGAACAAACGAAACAGACTAAATTGTCAATTCCACTTAGAAACAAAATATTAATTCTAAAAATAAATCTTAGTTTGTTTTACAGAAGAACAGACAAAACTGACTAACTTTTGTCAATATCAAATAAACTGAGAACTAAAAGGAAATTCTCGATCTCTCCTTGTTGTATAGCTGAGCTTTTCAAACAGTTTTAACAGTTACTTTAGTCTGACAAAAGCCGAATGACGAATTAGCGCTTCCAGTCAGAGACTGAGGCTACGTCCACACGTACACGGGTATTTTTGAAAACGGAGATTTTCCGTTTTCGTTTTAAAAAATAATCCCGTCCACACATAAAGGCAGAAATGAAGGAAAACGCTGCTATGAACATGCCAAAGCAGCAGGTGGAGCTAGATTCCTAACCGTGCAGAAATGTTGGCCAATCAGAAGTCTACAAGCCTCGGTGGGAAAAAGTAAACAAAGCTGCGGCATAGAAGCAGAACCGAGTCGTATGTGTGGACGGACAGTAACTGTGTGTATATGTAAGCATTTAAACACTGCAGAGAGTAGAATTAACAGTATTGTAGAAATTCATTTCATCGAAACAATAACGTGGCGCACAGTGTGACGCATGCACCAGTTTATTGTATTTCCGGACTTGCTTTCGGCACAATTTACAGTGCACGCTACTCTGTTTTTTGTCAGACTTGAAATAGCCGAAATACCTTCACACTACGGAACTTCTATGGCTCTTCCGTTCGACAATCTCTCCGGCATTGGAACCATCATCTGTTTTCTCTTCGGTAACCTTCGGTCACGCTCGGTTGATTTTTCTAGTCGGCACACTCATTTCCTCCACTACCCGGGCGGTACGGTGGCTGGCTGCTTCCCAAACACATGTGCGGCCTGGCAGTTGTGCTGTACGTAACAAGTCACGCGACGTGACGCTGCGGCTGTGATTGGTTCGGCTCTGCGCTACTTAATTTGGATTGGCTGACCTTTTTTTTTTTTTTTTTTTTTTTAAAGAGGATAAGAGCGGCGAGGTCTATCGCGATAGTTTAATTTCTCTATCGAGTAAAAGTTATATCGCGATAAATATCGTTATCGTTCTATCGCCCAGCTCTAGTTACAATCAGCCAAGGTTTCGGGTGAGCTCATTGTGAAACCTGGCCCCACCTTATCATGCAATTTCCTGAGGTCAGATGGCCCAGGATGTGAGTGGACGTTAAGGCGTCTGGGAAGGGATCTCAAAACTGGATTATAGATGGCAGACAGTTGGTGTCGTAAACCACCACCTCTGTTCAAAGATGGTCGCTCACAGTGGACGTAAATGGCTTCTTTCACTCCTCTTTCAAACCATCTGTCTTCTCTGCCCAAAAAGGGAACATTTGCACCCTCGAAATAGTGACATTTGTCCTTTAGATGCAGATGGACAGCTGAGTCTTGTCCCGTGGAGGTGGCTCTTCTATGTTGTGCCATGCGCTTGGCTGTTTGGTCTCTCCGATGTAGAGGTCTGGGCATTCCTCGCTGCACTGTACAGCACACACCACATTGTTAAGTTTGTGTTTAGGAGTTTTGTCTTTCGGGTGAACCAGTTTTTGTCTGAGTGTGTTGCTGAGTCTGAAGTACACTGGGATGTCGTGCTTGGAGAAGAGCCTCCTGAGTTTCTCTGATACACCGGCTACATAGGAGATGAAAATGTTGTTGCATCTGTCTTTCTTATCCTCCCTCGCTGGTGTCTGATCTTCTTTTCTGTGCATCTTTGCTGACTTTATAAACAGCCAATTAGGATAACCATATGTTTTAAGTGCTTCCTTTACATGTGTGTGTTCCTTCTTTTTTCCTTCAGGCTTAGAGGGAACATGTTCTGCCCGGTGGTGTAGGGTCCAGATTACCCCAAGTTTGTGTTCCAGAGGGTGATGGGAGTCAAAGAGGAGGTACTGGTCTGTGTGTGTGGGCTTCCGGTAAACTTCAATGTTGAGGTTGCCATTCTCTTCAATGTGCACAGCGCAGTCCAGGAAAGGCAAACAGTTGTCCTTTGTGTCTTCCCTGGTGAACTTGATGTTTTTATCCACAGCGATAATGTGCGCAGTGAAGGATTCCACTTCTTGTGTTTTAATTTTGACCCAGGTGTCGTCTACATATCTGTACCAGTGGCTGGGTACTCTCCCTTTAAAAGAGCCAAGAGCCTTACATTCGACTTCCTCCATGTAAATGTTGGCTACAATAGGCAATAGTGTGGTTTGTGATTCAGCTAAGCTGTAAACAAATTCCCCTTTTGGGATTATTAAAGTTATCCGAATCTGAATTAACTTATAAATGCAGATCCACAATCAACTGTGAGAACATTGTGCATTTAGTTCATTAAGAGAGATAAATGGATATCCTGTTTCACCTGCATCTGTCCGTTCGCTCATGCAGGAGTAGACGGAGCACTGGAAGTCTCCTAGCGCGGCCCCTACTGGCGTGCCAGCAGGGATGCCGTGCCACTGAGAGCAGGTCTTTCCTGCCAAGCTACCAGATGGCACACACTTAGGAAGCAGGTGCAAAGGGAAGCCAGCACCCTTCAGACTAGAGGACACACACACACATACAGTGCTTGTTACGTATGCTTGCACTGATGCAAAAAGTGTTAGGTAAATGAGGCTGCAAACCAAACATGCACAACAGTTTTCATGCAGTAGGTGCATCTAGTAAAGTGTTGTAAAAAGGAAGGACGTTCAACACTATACAAACATGTTTTCGTTCCACTGATTGGATGACGTGTTGAAGAAGCCCCAGCTGGCTGCATTCTGGGGTGTCATCACACACCTGTCCAAACCGCACAGCATGGACACCACATAGTCCTGGATAGTACCTGCAACCGTAAAGTCCTCAAGGAATTTGGGTCTGCGGAAAAAACCACACAGCTTCAGCTTTTGTATCCCAATTGCAAAATGTATTTATTTATAATGTATTTATTTTTAAAGATGTGAGCTTACTTGTGTTTCATGTACCAGAAGATTGTTGCACAGCCAAACCCCGTGGCGACGCTGAGATGAGAGTCTGGTCTGGGAAGAGAGGTGAGGAAGTCATTGCTGCAACGTCCATCTTGCCAGGTGATCAGCTGACTGGTGTCTTTGGCTGTTAAGGAATCACTATTGGACCAGACGCAACCTGGGTGGTGCAAAAGACAGTCAACTGAGTGCTTACAACTTTAATACAACCCTTGTTTGAGTTGTTATGTTGACTGCTGTGTTCTTGAAAGACTCTGTCCTTTGCCCTGTCCTATTATCAATCAATGTTGTTCTAAAGCCTCTGGATCCACTTAAACATTAGTCAAACTAAACTGCATGCTTATTTTAGATACCACTCTATACAGATACTCTATACGTATCTGTCGCTATTCTTTGTGACCATATGGATCGGTCCCTCATATTACCATTATTTCACCCAAAGGCACCAAGTTAATACTTAAAAAAGCTGCAACAATACACACAAATATAAAAAGTACTTGGTGACAACTTTGCTTTTAGCCTTTAACCCTCTGGGGTTCAGGGTATAACTGGTTGTTTTTTGACTACTTTTGATTTGTCCTCTATATTTCACCTTTAAAAACTGTTTATCTTGCCAATTCTGTTATTTTCACATTTTGACATACTGTATAAGCACAACTGATCTAAATTCAGACAAAATTTAAAATATGAGTAGAAAAAAGTTATATTTTTGACTGTAAAAAACACAAACATGTTTTACGAATCATTTTCATAACTTGAAATGCAAATAGAAATTGTACATTTTTTGAAAATATGCACAAGTTTTGCAAACAACAAAGTTATATGGTACTATTTATCTAAAAATGCAGCCAAGGCTCAGACGTTTTTTATATAACCATTTAAAACTATTTAGAGAACAATGAGGTGTTCTGCATCAAATAAGAAGACACACAAATTATATATGCAACTCCAAAAATAGTTTGTGTCCACTATAAGACAGAGGAGAACAGCACAGGGATAAATCCTGCAGGTATGACAGAAGGTGTGTCACTCCTGTTTTCCATGTGGAGACAGCGTTTACATCTGCCTTTGGTGGCTTTTTTTGCAGCAACTGTGACATTCACTAGTAGAAGTGACACACAAAACAAAACAACGACTACACTACACATTAACTACACAAGACAACACACTAACTTGAGTCCAAACACAGTAAACGTCACAAATCTATCATGTATCAAAACTCACTCGCTCACTCTCGCCGGTGTCACTCCTAAAACTTCGCCCTCTTCCTAAACAACCAAATGCCACATAATTTTTGATTGGTCGACATGGCACATTTTTCCACTTTTTCTTTTTTTTCACTCCCAAGCAGAGAGTGTTTGCTACCGCTGTCCGTAGAAAACGCCGTTTTTACGGTTTCTTCCCGCTGTAAACACCACTGTTTTATTTAGAATTGAAACTAACACTCAGTCCGTCAACCCTAGAGGGTTAATCAGAAAGCCTTAAGTTGGCTAGTTATGTAACTGGCTAAATGTTTAAAGTAGGGGTGGGCGATATAAACGATATACGATAGAAACGATATAAATTTGGCCAATGATAGAGATTTTGAATATCACGATAGCGCATGTTGATGATGTCATCAAGCTGCGCCTGTTTTGGTCGAAAGCATCGCAGCTGCTACAACCATTATCATCTGCAAATGCCGGGCGACAGTCATAGCAAAGAGATGAAACATTTTTGAAACATGGGGAAAGCCAAAAACTGCGCTTCCTCCACTTCCGTAACCTTGATTCATTAATGTTGAATTCTCTCGCAGCTGTTCTATTCCCATATTGTTCATCCTCCAGCTTCACAGTGCTAATGTTATGCTAACATAGCTGTGTCGCTAGCAATCACATAGCACAACATTATATACCAGGTAGTCCAACTTCAGTAACTCTGCAAACACCACTGCTGTTTAGTTTTCTGTCTTCATTTATGTTGAAAGTGGTAGCAGAGCTGTACGTTTTAATTAGTTTCAAAAATCTCTCAGTCAGAATATGGTATGTCATGTTTAGGTGGAAACTAGCGAGCTAACTTCCTGTTAACTTCTAACTCCATTAAATTTAATAGATTCTGTTTTTATGGATGCATGGATGTTAAACTTAATTGTTACACCTGATAAAGCAGCAACGCTGATGATTTTATTAAAGATGAAAGAGTTTAGACCGTTTTTAACTCTTAGTGTTGGTTTGACTTTGGGACCTGAAGGGGATGAGGTTTTGGACACAGATTACTCCGCGAAGCTCCTCACTATGGCAGCCGTAATGCTCTGACAATCCAGAATTCATATATAAGGCACACTCTCGATTTATGAGAAAATTAAAGGATTTTAAGTGTGCCTTATAGAGTGGAAAATACGTTATACAGAAGAAAAGAATATATCGCGATATATATCGTTACCGCACATGCTTCAAATTATACCACGATATGAATTTTAGGCCATATCGCCCAGCCCTAGTTTAAAGCTTTCACATGAGTAAAGTAACACATATTACTGCTACTGCTAAGTAATGTTAGCTAAGTTCACAGCATATTCCATAAATCTTAATGCCATAACTAACTGTATAATAGCGCTGCCGTATTGCATCACACTCATTGCATTTCAATCATTTCTCCAGCGAGTTTGATAGCTAGCAAAATAATAATCATAATTTTAAAAATTAGCATGTGTAACGTACTGGAAAATTATTCACTAGGACTCACCTATCATGCGACTGGAGAGCGCAAACTCCGCCATTGTCGTTTTCCATCAAACACTCATTAAAACAGCAACTGCAGGTATGTTTTTTGTTTTTGTTTTTGTTTAAGAACTTTATAACTGCAGGTATGTTAGCGTGCTCATCCCGACAGTTAGGGGGAGAGGCGGGTCACATATTGAAACAGACAGCCACAGAGGTGCAAGGCAGCCCAGGCAGAGAAATTTTGCTTTTACATTTTGCGACTCATTTTATTTCTCTATCTGATAAAAATAAATAAATAAATCAATTAGATAGTTATTTGTGGTGAATGAAATACAGTTACACTTTCAAGCACTTTTAAGCACCACATCTGAAATGTAAGCAATCACCCTTACGAACCCTGATACTGAATACACAGATGCTAAAAAAAAAAAGGGGTTCCAGAGTGTTTGGCAGTGTGGAAAGATTAAAATATCTTGGGAAGAGATCAGATTGACAAGTGAGAAAATAATTACTTAGTGAAAATAAATGAAAATATTCTATTGATAAACAGCGCGATAGTCAGAAAACTATAGGACTTTTAAATGGTGATTACATGGTAAGTCAAGAAAGCTTTGCAGGAGGTATACATGTTTCCAGTGTGTCCTAGTGTAAGCTGTATAAGTGTCCAAATGTGTGGCTGTAAACACCCTAAGAAAAATTCTCTCCAATCTATCTAAGATTTGCATCACTTCAGTACCTAATCTGTGATGATCCTGGTATAATTCATCCATCTTTACACAAATGTTTCCATCCTCCACCTAAATGAATGTATCCAAGATACAAGAATTAAGATTACACTGATATACACAGTATGTTTCCTGAATCCCTGATGGTTGTGTTCAGAGAAGGGACATTGGGTGGTAAAGGTCCTAAAACATGATCAACTACTCCCCACTCACAATTTACCATTAGACTGGAGCACTGTTAATCACACATTGCTTCATGCCATTGGATCAGGGCATAGATAGGATCAATGGTGAGATGTAAGTGAGGACTGCACTTCATTACATTCATGATAATGTTTTAGTTACTTATTAATTTGTAGATCTTAAAATCTATCCATGTTCTACCTTCACTCTTTGACCCTACCACATCTGGGTCCCAGGAAAGAGGTAGACAATGAAAAAAACAGAACCTGTGTTATGTGGTATTATAAAAGTCAAAGCACTGTCAAAGTAATGTCTCTAATTCTGAAATAGCTCCTGAATGTAGTGCGAAATCGTTTGACTCATTTCTTAATTGGTATTATGACTTTTACTTGAGTAAAGAGCCGAAGTACTTGTTTCGTCACTTTGCCAAACAAAGACTATTTTGGCTCTTGCGCAGTGTCATCTGTATTTGGCACAGGGCTGCACGTGAGCCTGAAAATCATGTCTAATCTTTCCTTTGACACCTGATTTTGTTTTTGATCATGTTTTTCTCATTTCCCGTGAAAAGAAAATCAGAAACAATCCCCAATCATAGAGCCGTTGTTACACAAGTTACCACACTGACGATGAAATGCCACAGCCCGCGCGCAGAATAACTTTACCGCTTTTTGGTTTCCAGAATAAAACTCCGTGCATCTGTCCGGTCAGCCCGATGCAGCACACATGCTGCAGTTTGTCTCTGGGCAGGAGGCCAATGCACCGGTCCAGAGTGTCTATGATCCGACCCGTGTCCTGCTCTTTCGCCTGCGTTACACACAATCACACAGAGGTGTTTAGATTACTGAGCTGTAGTTAAAATTGCGGGACAAGTGAACGCACTCACCTTTATCCCGCTATCGTCGGCTAAATCAGAAACAGTCGGTAAAGACTGACTGGCAGCTATAGCTCTACATCCTCTGTCTAATAAAACGGCTTTTACTGAAGAGGTACCCACGTCCAAACCCAGGATAAAGTTAGACATGACTGATGTTTACGATGTGTACCTTGAGCTTTTTTCATACCGAAATGCAAAAGTCCTCACTGCTGCATTCATGTGATTAAAGGAGTTTAGAGCTTCTTTGCTACTTAGATTAAATTTGCTGTTATAAAACTGCTGTTTTAGCCAAAAATGTGAAATAACGAATTTACATTTTGATGTAACATAGTGTCTCCTTCAATACAAATTCAAAGGTAGCTTCCCTGCTTAAACGTTATTCAGGGTAGATCAATTTCCTACTGTTTTACTGTCAAGGAATGCACCAAATCGGCTCCTCCTGAGGCTGACTACCGCCTTCCCACAATGCACTGCGCAGGAGCATGGCTGACTTTCGTATAGGAGTGTCATCCGAACGAGAATGAATGCACTTTTTCTTTTGGTGACAGCAGCTGACTTTTCCTGTAACTGCTTTAGATTCAGGTTTGCTAAGTAAATCTTGCATGTTATGTTTTTGTGACCGCGTCGTGAGGAGTCGACAGGAAGTCCCTACATTAATCTCCGGTGAGAACCTGTCACCGTCAGTGGGCAGCTGGGAGAGCTAGCACTGCTAGAATTAGCACTGGTAGAAATGTTAAAATAGTTCAGCTGATGTGCAGTTTAGCCCCCAATAGTCTGACTCTGCTTTGTGTAGTTTGAAAACTGATGTCTGTGTCGTATAATTTTACCTTTTTATGTCAAAACGAGGCTTTGAATCACCTTGAAGTTTGGCAATAGCTAAGCGAACCCGACTTGCTTTCTTTGTCACGCAGAGTGAAGAGCTTTAATGTGTCCAGATTTGTAGTTTTATGTTGATTCAGTGTCATGATGATCGGTCTTTCTTTTTTAATATAATAACCTTCATTACCAGCAGTAAGATGGCCCTTAAATTATTCCTGGTGAAAATTGTCTGTCAATGGATTTTTAAAGTAAAACCGATCGGTCTCTGTTTTAAATGAGCTATTTTTGTTTTGTTTCTATTTGGTGTTAATTCTATAAAGCATCCCGAGTCAGGATGTTTAGGATTTGAAATCATTAGTCCTACTATTCATCATGTTATTTCGATTTTGATTATTTATGAATTAAAAACCTCATTGTGCGAGGTACATAAAATCATAGTAGGTACTGTTGCTCTAACATTGTTGCCTTAATCTTTGATGTTACAGCAGCACCTTCTGTGGTAGCCGACCAGAGCCAAGATGGCTGGAGTTGGGGCCAAGCGCGAGGGACCACAGTTCATCAGTGAAGTGGCAGTGAGAGGCAACGCGGCAGTGCTGGATTACTGCCGCACCTCTGTGTCTGCGCTCTCGGGAGCAACAGCCGGTATCCTTGGCCTGACGGGACTGTACGGCTTCATCTTTTATTTCCTATCATCCTTTCTCCTCTCGCTGCTGCTTATTCTCAAGGCCGGACGGCGGTGGAACAAATTCTTCAAATCACGGCGGCTGCTCTTTACTGGAGGCCTCGTCGGAGGCCTCTTCACATATGTCCTGTTCTGGACTTTCTTGTACGGGATGGTGCACGTATACTAGAACATCTACTCGAAATAACTCAGAAATATTTGTCTAATGCTCTGTAATTCTTTAGGTTTGTCTGCCCTGCTGTTGTAGATAGGCTGTTAGTGGAAGGCTTCCATTGTGAACTGTTTATATGTTAAACGATGAGTTAAGAGAATTAACTGTCCTTTTCTTTCCTCCATATTTACCAGAGAATGAACTCTAACCTGTACTTAGAGAGCTATAGTTATAATGTAGGTTTACAGATCAAATCCTCACAAGTTAAACCAAGTCAGAAAACAGCAGATGTAATTACTGACTGGATTAAAGATCTCTCTAGAAGTTTTTTGGATCACTTTTTCTTCACTGGGGAATGTCACTAATAATAATAAAATTGTGATGACAAAAATGTGTTTCCAATGACAAAGAACATTCAATAAATAGAAACAGGAACAACAAACAAAGGGAGACTCTGCATTTCAGTTTCCATTCATTACACAGAGAATATGTCCACTTGGACTCGTAGAGCATGTCAGGCTGTATTCTTCAGTGTCGCCAGTGAATACTGTGTAAAAGCTTCATATCAAAGCCATAATCAGTACAGTTAACTGAACATACAGCAGAAAGCAGCAACAGTGTTTGTGCATTTTAACAACGCAATACATGTGTTGAGCTGTAAAAACACAATTAAGACCACACATTTTCTTATGAATTGCTTCTAAGTGTAGTTTTTAAAAACTTTCATGCCTACTTTTTTTTACTTTTATTACTATATATTGTAATTACTGTCACTGCTAATTGCCAGTTGAGTGGTAATGAATCTGTTTTGAATCCTGACCCTGCTACTTTCTTTGACGTCCTGATGTCATGCACTTTGCACAACATTTACATTCCCCTGGATCAACACATCTTCAGTCAGGGCATCATTCATGCTAGTGACCGTGCTAGCAGTTGTGCCGGCAGGTAAGACGTGGACGTCAGTCCCACCTTTGGGTTCCGCCTCATGCAGGAAAACAAACAGGTGACCTTGCTCTGCCTGCAGACCTAATTGTGAGCCATGAAAGTGATATGATGCTTCGTCTCAGTGCCTTGGGGTGGAGCAGAGTATCGCTGTCCCGTGTTACGTGGAATTGTGGGACCCCTTTTCTCTGTAGGTGGCTGGCTCTCTGCAGAAGATCCTGCAGTGGGCTCAGTTTCTCCTGGATTTTTGATGGAATTTGTAGCCCCTTTCTCTGTCCCTGGTCTTCTGGACCTCTTTTCCCGATGGCCCGTTTTCTCATCTTTAACTTTGGTCCTCTCTTTTCTGTTGCACACAGCATTAGAGAGGTGTGCGAAAGTGAGGAGCAAGATTTAGAAAATGGCAAAGTTTTTGCAAACATATGAAGTCCTACTTGAAGTTGATGATTTCAAATTTCCTCTCTCTGTAGAAGGAGCTCGTGTTCATCATGTACAATAATATCATATCACAGGCAAAGGCTCCCTAAAAGAGAAAAATAAACAAATGAACTGGAACAGGAGAGAATATTACTTTTCTTGGTGGGGATTACACATCATCCACTGTCCTGTAAAATGACAGTTTTTGAACTTAGCACCGTGGTAATTGCACAGCAATCATCCACACATGCGTCAGCAGAATATTCTAATAAATTACTCACTGCACCGAGGAGAGCAACACCTGAGCCAATGGCAATTACTGTGGGGACAATATTGAATTTTCCGGCCTGTAAAACAATAACCAGAAACTCACTGTTAATCTCCCACCAGAATGATGTGCTTTAGAAAAAAACTAAACTGCTACTATCTCCACAGTACCTGACCATTGATCATTATATCAAAGCGAATCCCATACACTTTATACAGCGTGCGATAGGTTTCCCCATTTTGATCCTTATAGTATCTGGCATATCTGTAGAAAAAATAGTTGACATAAGATGTAAAGGCTGAAAACATGTTGGAAACAGTGAGCAGAGTGAAGGTAGTGGGTACCATACCTGAAGTTGTATCCCGATGTGATTGAGTTGTTCAAATTAATGTCCAAACGGGTGAAGCTGTACTGTGGATTACACAGAGAATAATCTTTATCCAGGTCACAGTTCCACTCAATGAGAATGCCAACAGAGCCGCCCTGATGGACACAAAGGGTAAATATTAATAGCACATCAGCGGATACACCACAAACCATACCGTACAGAGTGCTTTACAAAAAGTAAAACTTTTTAAACATAACATACCACGACCAGAGAAGACACACGCAGATAAAATCAAGTTACATGAGGCTTTGGCAAGAAAATGCTTATTTTGAACAACTGTGTTCATTTGGGATGTAATTCAGTTGAGGTGCCCTGATCTTTCTCACTCAGAGCCTCAAACTCAAGTTGCTTGTAATGGGGAACACAGATTTAATTTGGGACCAGCCAATGTGGAGCATCAAAGCTAATAGAGGAATATCTTACTTAAACGCAGTTCCAGAAACTCAGTTTTTCATAACTCTAAACAGAAACTGAAAAGGATTAAATACTACTGAAAACTCCACATGTCCATCATCCATTTTCTTCCAGCTGATTATATAACAGATACATCTACATATACAGATGAAGACCACAAGATGTGTCAAAAAGCTTCACGACAACGACACATAACGACATGTATGTGGATCTAACCAGTTCATGAATGACCCTGCTGTTAGTAGTCTACCAGAGGCTGGCTTTTAATACACAGCTTTACTGTATTTGCATTGCAGAGAGATTCAAGTGTTTGTGGGATATTTGCAGATTTTCTCACAAATCATTAAAGAAATCAGCTTTTTTGTGCAAGCAGACCATCTCCCTATAAATCAATCAACTGATTTGAGTTTGTGTGTCCACAGAGAGATAAACTGTGTATTGCAGAATCTTCACTGTACTTTGTCCTCTTCTAACATTTTATAATGTTAGAAGATCTGCTCAAGAAATCTAAACAAGTGATGGCGAGCTACTGAGACCAGATTTCTATTATAGTTTGTTAGCAAACAACTGTGAGGAAGTGAGGAACCAAAATCACTCCCGCACATAGTCTTAATTGTTTGTCTGTCTGTGTGTTTGTTTGCTGTTTTGCATCCAGAGTTTGTCAAATTTCAATTTCAAATTCATTCATTCATTCTCAAATTTAGTTTGAGGTTAGATATCAATAACAACTCAAGCTGATTCAATTTTGGTCAAAATCTGGTTAAAGTCAAGGTCACACCAAATGTAAAAATCAGTTTAAAAAATCTTCAAACTTCACAACAATATGCTACACCCTGGGGGACATGAGTACCTGAAATTGGCCATTAACATTGGCCTTTAATGTTAGCACCCAAGGTTAAAGTTGACCTTGACCAAAAAAAATTAAACCATATTGAGTATTATATCATATGAAAGGGCATGCAAAGAGCTGTACGACGCACTTTTTATTTTCTCAATACAACATCCTATGACGTCACCATGATGCTGGAAAGCTTTGCAAAACCACATAATTATATCTTTAAAGCTCATGTTTTACAGCTTATAGAAGTCAAA